ATAGCGATGGCCTCCAACCTGATAGCGATGGCCTCCAACCTGATATCGATGGCCTCCAATCTAATTTCGATGGCCTCCAACCAAATAGCGATGGCCTCCAACCTGAATGCGATGGCCTCCAACCTGATAACGATGGCCTCCAACCTAATAGCCATGATCCCTCCAATCTGATAGCGATGGCCTCCAACCTGATAGCAACCAACCTAGTAGCGATGGCCTCCAACCTGATAGCCATGGCCTCCAACCTGCTATAGCGATGGCCTCCAACCTGATAGAGATGGCCTCCAACCTACTAGCAATGGCCTCCAACCTAGCGATGGCCTCCAACCTGATAGCGATGGCCTCCAACCTGATAGCGATGGCCAACCTGATAGCGATGGCCTCCAACCCGATAGCGATGGCCTCCAACCTAATAGCGATGGCCTCCAACCTACTAACTAATAGCGATGGCCTCCAACCTACTAATAGCGATGGCCTCCAACCTAAAAGCGATGACCTCCAAGCACATAGCGATGGCCTCCAACCAAATAGCGATGGCCTCCAACCTGATAGCGATGGCCTCCAGCCTGCTACTAGCGATGGCCTCCAACCTAATAGCGATGGCCTCCAACCTACTGATAGCGATGGCCTCCAACCTACTGATAGCAATGGCCAATGGCCTCCAAGCAAATGGCGATGGCCTCCAACTAATAGCGATGGCCTCCAAGCAAATGGCGATGGCCTCCAACCTCCCAGAGAGCCCAAAGACCTCTAATTAAGGGAAAACACTTTAATTAAGGTAAAGCCCTTTAAAAACAACCTCTATTTAAAGGTTAATCCTTTAATTAAAAGTCTTTACCCCTTAATTAGAGGTCTTTGGTCCCTTTAAAAAGGTATAATCCTTTAAATAAAGGGTTTTGGTGCAAAAAGCATACAACCCTTAAATAAGGGGTTTTGATGGCTCATGATTGGTGGGAAAAACATGTCAAACACATTTTTAACTGAAATGTTTAATCTGGTGAAACCTCCTGTTCCACTAAAGGAGGTGCCTCCTACATGAAGGAGCATTGTACATTTTTATCATATTAGTTGTATATTGTCTGTTTGAAGGAGAAGCCTCCTGCAAAGGAGACTTCTCCTGTTACCCCATCCCAACCCAGCAGCTGCAGCACCTTTTTTCTCAAAGCGAAGGGACCTGGTGCAAGGCTGCAAACTTATGGAACATGGCTTGTGCCACAGCCAAGCAAGTGAGGTTACCTCCTCGCCTTCTAGCAAGTTCTGACATTTGCCCTCCCCAATCCTCATCTCTGTAGGTCCACCCAGTGGATGGGGAGGCTTTGGGGCATACAAAGCAGCAAACTTCAAAGCTTCTCTGTGCAAAGCACTTGGTTCAAAAACTTGCTGGCTCAATTGCTGGTAGCAATTGTGCAAATGTTGGGCACATTGGATGACTGCAGCTTGAAAAGAATCTGCATTGTTGAGCAATGCTGTGCATTGCAACAAAGAAAGCAAAATCAAGCCTTTTGCATCTCCTGCTTTGGCTCTCAACTTAGGAGAAGTAGAACTGGAAGACTTTTTCTTGTCTTTGTAAAGCATGGAAGCCTTCAGCAAAGGCATTTGGGAATCAATGGCATACTCCTTGTAGTAGTTCTTCATACTGACATGCAAAGCTTTGCAGTTCTGGTCCACATTGTTCCCAGGCAGCTTCTCTGACAACAGGACAAAGACAGAGGCTAAAGGTCATACATAGAGAAATAAATATGAATCACTACGTTTAAGATAAATAAGATATTCATGGTCAATGCTCATGTATGCATAGGAGGTGGTGGCCCATCTCCTGCTGTGCCAAAACCGGAAGAAGTGCCTGCGCCAGCTGCTGCTGCCACTGCAGAAGTTCCCAATGGGGGGGGCGTTCCCCCTGAAGCTCCCAATGAGGCTGCCAAATGAGGTTGAGGAATCTCCCAATGAGGAGCCTAAGCCAGAGCCTGAGGCCAGAGATACTGAGAACTGAATATCTTCTCACATATCTTCCAAAGCCATCTCAGCTTGAAAAAAAGGTGTTGCTTTGCTGCTGGGTGGGGATGGATGATAAGGCTCCTTGTTGGGCAGGAGCTACAAAAAATAATACCTCCTGAACTAGGAGGTCAATAATCAATGGTTGATATGTTAAAAAAATCCTCCTGGGATTAGGAGGTATATAAATAATTTAGGGCTTCTACAAACACCAACCGTTTAACTTCATTTAACTTGGCCCATTTAACTTCATTTAACTTATACATTTAATTGGAAATGCTTTCATTTTGGTAAGTTAAATGAAGTTAATTTAACTTATGGTAAGTTAAATGAAGTTAATTTAACTTGGAAAATGAAAGCATTTGCAACTAAATTGCCAAGTTAAATGAAGTTAATTTAACTTGGGCTGGTTTTCACCATTTAATTGGAAATGCTTTCATTTTCCAAGTTAAATGAAGTTAAATGAAGTTATATAAATATATACATGTTTGTGGCCATGAACTATTTTGATAAGATTTTAGGTGAACAACACAAGGTTTGAGGATTGTGCACTACATTCCTTTTGGAAACAATGCATTTCAAACATCATTTCCAACAGCTTTTTCTCGGCTTCTTCATTAGTGCATTCTCTGCCAAAGATTTTGGTAGCTGCCAAAGACTTTTCATTGCAAACAGACATTCTGCATTTTGATAAGCATCACTGCAGCTTTTGACTATCAAGATACAGGTGCACCTCATTTGACACAGAGGCTGCAGGTTCTGCAACTGCCTCAGGCCCCTCCAGGGCCAAGGATGCTGCAGGCTTCTTCAAAGCTGCAGAGGCTGGCCTTTTCATCGGTTTGGAAACAATGTGCAATGCCAGGCTGGGAGTATCTGACTCACACTGCTCCTCATTGCCAAATTGGTACAGCAAAAAGCCTTTGCCCCCAGGAACACATTGGGCTTCCAATGTCTCACCATTGGCTAGCTGCCTCTTCATGACACCCTTCTCCTGGTCGAAGAATTGCAAAAGCACAGCAGCAGTGTCTCCATTCTCGTGTTCAGGAGCTACTTCCATGTCTGCAACAGGAGAGGCATTCCCCTCCTGAGAAGAATAATCCACTGCAAACACTTGGGATTTCATGGCTCTCCTTTTGGAAGGTGGGCTCAC